CAGGTATCGTAATTATAATTAATTTTTCTGATCATAATTATAATTCCCAGGAAGTATAATCCTACACCACGTTCAATAATGTGCACTTGAAGTTCACTTTGCAAATATTAGACGTGATTTTCAAAGCAAGGGAAATGTTACTGCCACGTAGTATAAGTTTCATTTGTTTCTCAGATGCTTATTATTTTAAATTATAGAAATATAATAATTCGCAGTAGGTATATTGTTTCACTAAAACTAACCCTGAGTGTAAACAGGTTTATTTCATTAAATATTTGTGATAAATGTTACTCTAATAACATTACTTTGTTAATGTTGTAGAGACTTATAATTCAGAATGAAGAAAATGAAAAGTGAGGAAGATACTTTAAATCCCCTACTGTGATCTGTTTCCTTTAAGTCCACATTCCAATGAACAGTCTACGTGCAGTGGCGTATGTGTACGGGGGGGGGGTGGAGGGAACATGCCCCCTCCCACAATCGCCCCCGTGCCCTAACAACGTGAGGACTCAAGCTACCCCCACTGCCTGAGCGTAATTATTGATTTCAAAGTATAAATGTCAGTTAAAAAAATCATAGAAAGTCGGCTTGAAAACTGATACGTGAACAACCAGAGAATACATTTGACATATATTCATTTTGTGAGATGTCTTGAAATATTGAACAGAATGGATGAAGGTTGGTATGCATGGATAACTTATGGTATTAATAAGTCTTTCACAAATATTCTTGTTTCCATTTAAATTAAAAAGCGTGTAAGTAAGTGCGAGGTCATCATTGATACACTTCATGTTTTTTCTTCTTTCTTTATGATCTTTCTTTGCCTTTCATGACCATTTAAGCTCTAACGTATCAGATTTTCTTTCTTTAGTAAGCCAAGCTTTTCTTTTGCTAATATATTTTACCAGTCGTTTATATAATGAGCACATTACTATAAACTTGTTCTCTTTAAGAATACAAGAGTTCAGAGTGTTTTTGAGGTGGTGGTTGCCAGAATATCGGAAATTCCCAGGGATGCTACTTCCCCCGCCCTCCCCAGCACCTTATACGCTTGTGCTCCCGACATTTAATAGGTTTGATTAAGTAAATGGATTACATGATCGAAAGTGAGAGGAAAACATTGATGTCTTTACCCACTTTAAAAGATTGGCATTGTCATATCTTATATTATCTGTAAGCATTCATTCAAATATAATAGATGACTCTTATCATGATTATCATTATAAACAATACAAAAATGTTGACAAGGAGTGGTTTGCATAATGTGTTGCTATACTACCATAATGGTCATGATTCTGTTTCAAGATCGTTTTGGTTTCATATTGACAATCCTTGAATTATGAATATAATAAACGAGATCAATACCTCTTCAAAAGAGTACATTAATTCACTACTTGAGCCCCATGATGCCAGGGTTTTCATCGCGTTTCTCTTATATTTCTCTTTATTTCTCTACCTTTGTACCACTGCACCATGTCACAAACGTCTTTGTTTTCATGACAGTGTTTATCGTGCTTTAATTTATGGTACTTATGAACTTCATGATTTTTTTTCTCCATCCATCTCACAGTGTTTTTATTTATTATGTGGTTTTTATACAGGGAAGTCTCTATAGTACATAAACACTGCTTTGACAGAGAGCCCTGAATGTCTTAATACAATCAAAATAAAATGTAAAACAATAAACAAATTAATAAGTAGTAAAATATGATAAGGACAAAATCTGATAACATTACTCACTTGAAAACACTTCCATTTTAATAATTTATATTATCCAAAAGCATTAACTTAAATTTAACAGATGACTTTTATCACACTTTAATAAATTGATAAACAAATTAGTAAGTAGTAAAATATTACAATACACAATAAAACAAAATAGGAAAACAAAATATAGACTGATAACGGAAACTACTTTTATTGAATACAGACAAAATACCACAAACTTAAAGGGACAGTATTTCGTGTTCATTTTCCATTCCTCATTCTCTTCCCCATTAGTATTTCAACATATCATGTAAATGACTAACAGTCATACCCCCCCCCCACACACACACACACACACACGCACACACACAATCTCTTCGTCATAATAATTAAGAAAATGTATACAAAGGCGTCGGCAAAATATGTTGCAGGTTATTAGGTAAAAGGTAGAAATGAAAAAGTTAAAGTTAAAATCTAACAGTAATTAGTTAAAAATCGAAAGTTGAAAGTTAAAAGTTAGAACTTAAAGCATGATAAGAGAAAAACATTGTTTAAAATATGATTTAAAAAAATGTATATTACGATAACTTTGAGCCATACACTTGTAAAGTTTCCAAACTGTATGGATGAAAGGAAAAAGAAAGAAAGATGGGGCCATGAACATAATTGTGCAAAACAAAAGAGGAGAAGTTATGGAGTATAAAAAAGTGCAAAAATATCAGAAAACAAAGCTATTAAAAAAAAGAACGCTTGAGTAAAGGCGGAAACATGACATAAGACGATTGTCTCAAAT